CTTCACGCTAGGCTGCTTTTGGGTAGTGTCTGGACCCTGAGTTTCTGGATTCAGTGCTAAGTAGCGAGTGCCGACGCCATGTGTCGGTAATACGATTAGCTTCGAATTTCATTTGTTCGATAGGATATGCTAGTTTACATCTGAGCATGATGTTTATGTAAATAATTGATAAAGGAAGTGTATCCTTATAAATGCTAACGATACACAACGTCGGCAATACATCTGGGCCTTGGCAATATGTGCTACCAGCCAAATATTTCGGCCACACTCAATACGCTGAACCGTACGCCAGCGACAGAGAATAAGATCAATACAATATCCACCACGCCGAGAACAGCAGCCCCCATCATGAATCGAGGGCAGAAGATCCGGTAGAGCATGAGGTGGCGGCGCAGGTGGCCAGCCCACATTGTGGTTGCGAGGTTGATCGTCGCAAAGTAAAGAATATATGTCGCGGCCGCTTGCGCGACATCGGACAGAATTCTAGTAGTCGGCGTGCTGGATGTGGCGGATGAGCTGCTATCGTGCAGCTGGAGGGGTCGTTTCCACAACACCGTGAGAGGAACAGCAATTGCAGTGAGGATCTGCGCGCCGAACGTGTTGAGGATTACCAGAATGGGCGACCAAGGATATCGAACAGAAGACAAAGGGATGAACGCAGATTCCCATTGGATACTGGTGAGGGTGGCCTGGTGTCCAGTCTTGAAGAAGTGGAACGACCCAAGAAGACCCAAGACTATAGGTCCGATGGCTGAATTGCCGGTGACAAGACCATTTGTGTCAAGGATCTCAAGAAGAGAGAGGATCTGCCACAGCAGCAGGCCGATTGCCCCTTGGCCCATTGGTTTCTGCATGAGAATGATGGCCAGGCAGAAATTGATGACGAGGAGGAAAGCTCGCGTGCCGTAAACATTCCCGAATCCCAAAATAGTAACCGTTTTTCTTGCCGGTTCTCTACCCTCGGATTCAGCACCGCCTTGGCTGACGCTTATGCTGACGCACGGTTTGGTGTAGACGAACGCGGTGGTTCCAGCGGCGAATGCAAGCGCAAGAACGACCTGAGCCAGGAATACTCGTATGGTCTTCAATGTCTCTTTGCTCACAAGCCCCCATTCACCGTCGTCAGCAGCCTCGAGCGTCCAGAAAATGGAAGCGATAAAGAGACCGAACCGGAACGCAAATCCAATCCACAATGTCGCTGCTCCTTCATAGGATTTGGACCCTGCATAGAAAGACCGGACAACTGCTGGAAGGATGATGGTCACAAGAAAGGGAATAACAAGTTGCCAGGGAGCAGACGTAGAGGATGTCGTGGAAGCATAATAGGTGGAGCGGCAGAATGGCATCTGCTCTTCGCGGCACAGGCGGGAGAAGGACGCAATTCTTCCCAGAATCACAAATAAGATGGAATGATAGACTCCAAGCACCCGGTCAGCGGTTGACTTCTGCCGCATCGATGATGCACCCGCGACGACTCCAAAAGTTGAAAGGAAGAACAGGAGGATTTCATCCTCCCATATTGTGTATGAGTTCGATGCAAAGCCTATTGACTGGGACACTGTGAAGATAATTGCGAGCCATCCCCAAAGATTATTGGGGAGAGGCAACACTATGCGCCCACGTTTACCGAAAATGGCCCACGAAGCGCCAATGATGCTTCCTACGGCAGCCAGCAGAGCAGAAGACTCGACTGCCCGAGCAGACAACATGCGAGAGTAAGATAAGCAAGCTCCAGTCACAGCACCTAACACAGATCCCACCCCCACGGAAGAGAGCAGAGACTGAGTGAGTTCTGTTCGGGCGGCTTTCATACCTCGCGCGTAGAAGACGAGAAGGACGATCGCCGCAGAAAGAATTCCGACGCCCTGCAACATGCTGGGTACATCAAACTTCGCCCATAGCCCACGGCAGACATGCAAGATACGCCGTTGGTACTGTCGATGCAACTCAGAAGCCGAACGCGGAGCTGCCACATTCGATTTACCAGCTCTCGAGAGCTGCTGCCAGGCGCTCTCTGCGGCCTCCCAAAGCTCCTCTGACCCAAGTGATTGGGCTTCATCCGCACCGTGCGAGGATGTATACTCGTGCTGATACCGTCTGATTTGTGCAGAGGTTAAGCGGTTTACTGTGGCAAGATTTTTCCAACCGTTTCCCCCAACTCCGACGAAAGCCTCCTCGATCGGCGAACCAAGGTTGTTGAAGGGGATTGGCATCCCCAGAAGAAGTGACAGTGTCGGAACGAGGTCTATCTGAGGAATGAAACGTTCACGTGCGGTTTTCGGAGGACTAGCGGTCTCCGAACCCGTACGGCCGAAGATTGCCTTCTTCGAATACATCCAGAGAGCCGCCTCGACTTCGTCGTTTGATTCGCCCCCGTGGTCGCCCTTGGAGTCCATTCCGTGATCCCCCATGACCACCAACAGCGTCTTGTCATCTAGCTTGGCGACGATGTCTCGAATTACTTGATCCATCTCGCGAAGTTTTGCGGCCATAGCCGGGTGATTTGGTCCATATCGGTGCCCGGCATGATCGACGCCGAGATAATGGCCGAAAATGACATCCCATTTCGTCGAGTTTTCAGGATGCAACAGCGGGAAAAGATGATCGTTGACTCCATTGTCAACAGTGTACAAGTCCCACACATTGAATGAATCGAAAGGGCGTGTCAGATCAGCGTCGAAGTAGCCAGGGAAAAGAGCCTGCCAGGTATCATCTCCCAGGTGGACCAAGGTCTTGCCTGCCGCGTGTAGCTGCGCAACGAGATTATCTTCATCGATTGCCGTCCCGGCGAAGTTGGAGCCAGCATCCACAAATGTAGGTAGAGTGCCCGTTGTCAGTCCTTTGAGTCGTTGCAATGTCGTGGTCGGCGGGTCCGCAATGAATGGAAGCAAAAAAGCGTTTTCGGGGGACTTGACAGCCGTTTCGTACAAAACTGGTATGTTGTTATGAAACAGATGGGCTGTTTCACTTTCCGTCCCTGATACAAAAGGTACCGTAAAGTCGTACCGCAAAGCATCTATAATGATCACAATAGCCTTGTCAAATGACTTTTCATGCCAGCATCCTTGATTTCCTTTACTCCCTGATGAAGACGAAGGAGCATCATCGAAAGGAAGAACATCACAAGCCGATTTATTTTCCAGGACCATCCGAGTGAGAAGGAAGCCTTTCGTAAAAAAGAATATGCCAGCAACATGCAAAAGCCTAGGATCATTTTGCCCAGTCAGCTTCAGGGCATCCAAAAAAGACCAAAAACCTCTGACCAAAAGGGGGAAAGCTTACAGTATCCAACCGAACACACCCAGTATTCCTAAATGTTTTATTGTGAAGGCGCGCTCAAATTCCTTTGTCTTGTCCGCCGGCGCTTTAGTCGTCTTTCCCGGCCGCAGTTGTGGTCGTGTTGCTCGAAGGTCGCTGGGTTCGGAAACCCGCGGCGACGAGGGTCCAGGGGAAGAAGCTGCCGTAGGTCGAAAGCCTTTGGAGCTCGGACGATCATGGCTGGGCCCAGAGGTTGTCGGTAAGGCCATTATGGGCACACAAGTCGGCGTAGAATGAAAGCTGGTTCATCCAATGATCAAAGGTGCCCGTAGCTTTCGTCTTTGTGGGAGGGGGTGTTGTCGCGCAATATACTGGCAGTCACCTGCAAGTGCTGAAGTGGCCTTCGATGCGAGAAGCTCCGAGGAAATTGGACCTCTCAAATGGACTTCATTGATATTGTAAGGACTGAGTTCAGGAGCTGAGGAACAGAGGAAATAGATTAAAGGCCAAGAAAAAGAAGGTATACCCTATTAAGTGCCTATCTGAGCTGTCAAGTGTGCTCTCCCATCGAAGCCGACTCACAGCACGTTCATGGCTACAATGACAGCTCAAATACAACAAATAAAACAAATGAAACCGTAATAATGAGGGAATTGTTGTCAATTGATCTTGCTGATTATGAGCTCGGTAAAAGACAAAAAGAATGAAAGGCCAGCAGAACGATCAGTTCAGATTGTCCGGACCCTCCCAAAAATCTCCTGCCGCCCGTGACGTCGGGAGTTCGGCGGTTTTGGCGACTCCCAATTAGGTAGCGAGGTGTTCAGGCAAGCTTTGCGCCGGGCGTCATTGGTCGGCCCGGCGCGGAACATTTGAAAAGCCCTGCCACGGGTGGGCCATGTTGCCCTATTTGGAGTCTTGTTTAGGGTCAAAGTGACTATCATTGAGTGAACTTGATCCACATACTACTCATGGACCGTTCATATAAGCTATCTGTACAGGTAATGACATCCATTGAGGCTCACGCTATGGAAAGCGGCCAAGTAATGTATAGCGGACTAGTTACATACATTATCCAGTTGTATGACACCCTAAAGGCAAACCGAGAATTGCAAGGGATGAAAGAAGCATAAAAAGTAGAATAGAGAAAGTAAAAGGGGGAAAAGAAGAATGGTAGAAGCAGAATCCGGGTTGAGAAGGAAGAAGAGGCTCCAAGAAAGAAAAGTGAACCCCGCGTGCATTACGTCCTTCAACCCTAGTGACGTGGCAGGGCTGAGAGGACCACAAGTGACCAGGCACAAGAGATGAACGCCAATAGAAGCGAAAAGACCAGGCAGCAAGAGATCCCAAAATGGCAATGCAGAGAGAAATAAAAGTAGCAACCCTTTGCTATACACAATTCAGCTTCGGTAAGCCTTCGATCTGGTAACTCTTCAGGTCAATCCGGTCGATGACATTGTCCTCACGAGCATCTTATAGTCGGTTGACCTGAAGAGTTAATAGGTGTAGAGTGTAGGATCGATGGAGTATTTGCGTATGTGCAAGTCGAGGACGAAACGGCAAAACGGTAATGGTCAAGAGGCGCAGACAGAAAAGCAGGACTGATTTTCGCCAGAATATCGTCATGTATTGGAAGGAGTCGGTGTCGTCGAAGGATGGAAGGGGTTAAAATAATCGATTCTTTTCCGTATCGGTTCAGCGGAGAGATACGCAGGTCACCTCAAAAACGGTCGGCGGTCGGCAATTTAAGACCATCTTTTCATATCCTCTTTCTCCTTGAGGCCGCCCATGCGTTCAATGTCCAAGGATTGGAAACGTTCCGCGTCGCTGGACTGATAAGGTGGAAGCTCTTCATTGCATGGTTCCAACCCGACGGCGCCGGCATCACTAATTCTCACCACTACAACACGGCCGGACTTGCGCTTTCCAGACTCGTCTTCCTCCTCGGGGAACGTAATGCGGATTTCAGGGACCGGACTGGGTGGGGGGCTTGACGAGTTCTCCATCAAGCTGCGCTTCTCGTCGTACACCAAAATAGACTGTGTCCTCGTGTTTGAAGATGCGGAGATCGTGAGACGACGATGGTTGGGCGAGCACTGCCCGTTATGAACTGGGAGTTCGGAGTTCATCTGATTTTGGCGCTTTCGTCGCAGAACAAGAAGAGTAGCGACTAATGCAATGCCGAGTAGAATGAGAATCAAGAGAGAGATCAATAGATCAATCATTGCCGGGGATAGTGAACTATCGTCGCTGCTGTTGCCGCGAGTCACAAGCTTGATGAACATCTTTGCTGATTTTAATGGACAGGTGTTCCCTAGCGATGCGTCTCGACTCCGAATCTTGCAGACTCGTTAACGAGTTCGACTATCCGATGTGTGAGGGTATTTAATCCAAAAAAAGAATTCGTGCTGTCACATTTCGCTTCTTGTCAATGACCATTCCAAGGACATCAGGCGGCGTTTTCCATCATCATCATCACTTACACTATATCCAAAAAAGTTTCTGCGACTCGATATTGAGGAAACTTATTTGAGTGTATTCAGAAGTCCAAGGAGAGAATGAATCGGGTGGGTAGTGGTGGTCGGGTCGTGAGTTGATCGGCCGAAGCGTATAGACTGACTTGATCGGCGGCGGTGATAAAAGAACGGACAGCAAGGTGAACAGCTGAAAGAGTGAAGCTGGCACCTGCTTGGGTCAGAGAGAGAACGTGATGGAGTGCGAAAGGAGGAAGAATGAGAGAGGGGTTGGTATGGGGGGATGAAAACAATGACAAGGGAAGAAAAATGAGAGACTGAAGGGAAGGGAAGGACTTGAGTTGGGGAGGCAGGAGAAGGAAGGCCAGCAGTCAGCAGTCAGCAGCACAGCCGACCAGTCCGGCTCGAGGGAAACGGGGCGCAAGGGCGCCTAGAGCCTTAGTGTTCAGTCCTAGAGGTCCAGACTCCAGACCGCAAGGGAAAGGTAAGTTAGATTTCTTTTTCCTTAGGCAGACAACCTGTCAGTGGGGTCATTCTGTGGTCTAGCGAAGAGACTAAACCTTTACAGGCATTCTCTAAGAGTTCTAGTGTCCAGTTGTTACTCCGTCACTAAAGAAGAAGGAGTCCACGCCGCATTAGTTCCAGTGTCTCCTCGTTTGTTTGTAGACTGGCACAGTGTTTTGCTCATTTCTTGGTGGTTCGCTCGGCGTTGCCGCTAAGAGCGGGTGTAATTTCCCCATCGTAACCATACAGCCAATAAGAACGCTGGTGTCCCTGACGCCAACTGTTCATCAAGCTTATTCGTCACATGTCCCATAGATTGACATGGGTTTTCTCCGTAACGAAGGGCGCTAAAATAGGTGTGTGCTAATATTATCTTTCTAGGCTGACTATTGAATCCTATGTAGGCATTTTCTTTTGTTGTGGGCTTGTGGCTTTCGTGTTTCTGCCCCTGAAAAAAAGGGCCATTTCCTTGGTCATCTATCCATTGTCGGATGTGTCCACTTATGGGTGTTCACGAAAATAATGCATACTTGAGCATTCAATTCAGACAGTTGAACACTTGTTCTCTTAGAATTCCCCCAGGATTCACCGAGGATTTGGCCAGGAACGAGTCTACGTCTTTTCCCAAGATTCGGCGTAACCTCCAAAAAGGACAGACCCTGCGCATTCGGCTTTGCGAGGAACAAGTGTGGTCACTCACATCCAAGGCCCTGCAGTCTTCTCACTGTACTCCTTATGGACGGACAAATCCTTACGGGATTCACAGGAGGTGGGGTTTACAACAACCACAATGGCATCACGTGCTTCGTTGAACTTGTTTATCCTCTTCTAGTCCACTCCATACTGTAGACTAAGGTAAGGTCGTTTTGTACAGTGGTTTAGAACAGACATTTTAAGCATAAATAACAGTACAAGCAACCACATGTAAGCCTTGCCTGGAAGCGCAGCAATGAAATGTTATTAGCGGCGTTGAACAAGTTTATGGATTTCGTAAGTATTTAAGAATAGATATCTTAATTAGACACTGTCCTGCTCATTCTGCATGGTAGGTGTCAAGGGTTTACACAAATGTCGCGAGGCAGAGCAGATATACCGAGGCCCCACAGCATATATGTTGGAGCACAGGATGGACGTTTAGCACGTAAAGAGTGGGAGACTCTTAAATGACCGACTCTCAATATTTGCACATAAGAAGATGGGCCTCAGCAACATATATAATAATAGGAGGAGCTAGCAGATGTTTTTAAGGACTGGCTGAATGTCATTCAAAATAATAGGATTGATGCGGAGGTTTTACGAACCTCGGCAGTTTTGAGCACTTACGAAGAACTCTGAACCCTTTCACTTCAGACCGATCATTCTAAAAATTCGAATTTGGATTACCTGTTGGATAGCCTCTACCAGTTGGGCCATGCTCAGACTGGATATGTAGCTCGCTGGACAACCGGGGGAAACCCATCATGTGCGGACTATGGAAGGTTCTAAGCTTGAGCCCACTACTGTCAGTACGATCAATACAATAAGAAGGCTGTATCTACCCAGCATCAGGCATGGTTTGTAATATATCGTTACTCAAAGGAAGTCCGAACAAATTGCTTCCACACCTCATAACTGAAGTTCTTAGTTTTTCCTAGCTGTCACCATTGAAGGTTTTGCGTTTCCTGCGTATTCAAGATAGTACTGAAGGCAAAATTAGACAAATTCCCGTATCCTAGTGACCTTCCCAGGACCTCCTTCACCAGACTTTAGCCATATCTGCTTGTCCAAATAGCTAGAATGACTTGCTAGGGTTCTGATAGAGTTCTGTGTTCTTTCTCCAGTATCGGTCGAAATTTGAGCTCCCTTGCTTTTTGGATGACCGACCATCAGTTCGAGAGCAACAATGTTCGAAATACCTACACCTAAGAATTTATGAGGCAGAGAAAGAACACTTTGTCTATGGACAACACATACTCACAATCGAAACTACCTTATGGAATGCAAAGGATGCCTAACTTTCGAGGAGAGTACCCACATATCATGAAAACACCTTGAAATTATTTTCGGTTGTTGACACGAGCACTTTTGAACTATACTCGTGTCTCGCTCAGAATCCGGGGTTGATGACAGCTTTCGTGACTAGGCAAGGGACTTGCGTGTTCGCGCTTATCAGCTCCTAGCGATAGTCATAGCGATAGGTGATCAGCATCAAGGTCTCACTGTGGTTCATCATTGTATCGTTTATCTAGAATATCAGCGCCACGGAATACTTGAGGAAAATAACGCAAGGTCTGAGTCTATGACTTTGTCTTATCGTAATGGAAGGGATGACTATGCGGATCCAATGGTATGTGAGCTCTCAGTGGAAGCGTAGAGCAGAGGAGAGTATGGAAGAGCAGGGTGATGCGCTGCAAAGAACATCATTATTAGTACATAGAGTGATCATGAAGTATCAAGAAGGCCAGATCCGATAAGAGGAAATCATGATGCAGTATATGAGGATAAGGACAGGTTCCCTGGATCGCAGCTGTACTTGCTATGGGCCAAATAGTCGAGCAATAAACAAACCATGGTTGTTATTATGGTATATGTAAGGGGCTTCAAGCTCGAGGGATCAAAGCTCAGAAGTTTACTTAATTCGCTTCGAGCATGAGTTGGCACGAACTTAGGGCGGGTCTCGATGTTGATGCTGCTCAGGTCAATAGTGCAGGTATGTACTATGATAATATAGACGGGAAAGGCAGAGCAAATGAATTGAGCTTCTAGGAAGAAATTCACGAGATGATATTCAACCATGGGTAGTGGGTGCAACTTGGACCACTAGGTAAGGTACCATTCTGCATGTACCTGACGTTGACTCAATCAAGGTCACGGGATTTGGACGTAGGATTTTGCCAATGGTGAAGCTGCAGACCTCTACCTATGAAACAGTTGCGTAACACCAGGTACTAGACATTCAATTTTCATAAAAATTTTCTCCAATTTCCGCCTATTCAGATTCTTCATTCAAAAAATCTGCAATGATACATCCAAGATTCCTCCTACGAGAACCCCAGAAATAGAAAATGATGGCCTCAGGGCAAATCGGATGATTCCTTGAAAGGACTCTAGAGTGACAAACTGACGAATGATCAGAAGGCGATGGAGGAAATCAAGGCTAGTTTAGTGGATCCGATCGGTTGGGTTGAGAGGCGCTGCTTAACCTTCTCACCCGCCTTGTCAACACAGCTGTGTTAGTGCTGGAGTCTATCCATAGGTACTACCGATGTCCTCCAGTATCGCAAGACGATGACTCTATGGTGATGATAAGATTCGAATTGACTCAGAAGATGCTTTGTATCATCCGAGCCTTGATGATCCATGGCTGATCTGAGAGAGAATTCACTGACGGAAAGTCAGGAAAGTATGTCCGACCAAATGACTAGTGAGAGTTGCCATTGTCCCATACACAAACAAACCGCAACCTACGGACTAAACCTAGTAAGCTATTAAGGTGGGCAGTCTGGACTATGTTCCACCCTTTGCGTACGTAGATTACGCACAAGCCATGTAGAATGCCTCTGCCTCTCAAACCATGGCTTCGATCTGGCGGTCAAGCTATTTCCTTAAGCTTCAGACCATTTCTCCTGGGTGAAGAAACTGATCCATGTGTGGTGAGAGCGGAAGATTTTATGAGCGAAATAGAACCAATTGTTGTACAAGGTCTCCTCCACCGATGCAGATTCCACTCAATCAACTCCGTATAGCCAATGATGATCACTCTCATCATCTTTGTCTCCGTCATACCAGCAAAAGATGAGGGGACCCGCCTTGATTGAAGCCTAAACAAGAGGCGGCGGGAGCATAATTTCGGGCGGCCCCAGATCTGGCCATTGTCTGGAAAGGTGCTAAGACAATTAGAACCAGATATCCTGATCAACTTACGGGACATCAATGAACGACTTATGATACTTGGACTTTAAATGTTAGGTAAGGATAACCCATCAAGGTATGTATCTGTACCATAACTGAAAGATCAATGGATAAAGGTACCTCTTTGTGATACGAGAAACGATTATGGAGTACTCAAATCTGTGATCGACAGAATCGCCTGGGCGGGCGTGTGCCATATCTGTATTGCTGCAATCGATACCGTATCATTACTGATGGCCAATGAAACAACCCTGCCAGACTTGAGCCTGAGGTGTCCACAATCCCCACAGACAACTCTATGTGTAGTGTATGGAAGTCCTGAAATCCCAGGCGCCTAACTTTAGGTATGCTGGAGACATCCTGTAAGTGTAACAGTATTACAGTTACAGATGAAATTTACCTACCTTACTTTTAGGCCCTTTAGTCTTTCTGTCCAAGACACGCAGCATCTTTTTTCCTGCTATTGGAACCTTTCCATAGCAGCAGCACCACCAGCAGCTTATCTAGGTAGTCTACCTATCATCCCAGCAAAAGGCTTCATCGTCTTTGCTTTTTCCCTTTTCTTCTCTCTTTCTGTTTCTCCTCCAGATTCCCCCTTCACTTGTTCTTATTACGTCCGTATTGGCAGTTCGTCTTAATAATTTGCTGTCTTACCATTATTTCTGCACGCTTGATCGGTCTTTTTCTTCGCCATCTTTTTTTCCCACCAGAGCTAAGCTATCTGGCTCTCCAATCTTGGCTTTATCCTTATTCCTCCATCCCCTTCAACGGTCAATATCATATCCTCGTTTAATTTACGGTCCTTGAGAAAGATATATCGCAATCGGAATCCTTACAATACAGATTGACCCGCTTGGAGCAGATTGGCCGCGGCGTGTCATGCTTGCCTCGTCTGTGTGACAGCTGGATTACATTGATTGCCGTGCTTGGTCTTTCGTCCACATTCTCACCATTCGACGGTCCACTAATAACGTCTGATCTCCTCGCCCACTTGCGCAAAGAGCACATTCCTACCTACCGTACCGGCTGCAATAACATTCGGGTTTCCCCTCCACTCCCACACACCCCTTGCCGCTACGGACCATCCAAGCTCACTCCCTCACGCTTGTCTGATTACAACCACACCCCCCTACGGCCGTCGTCGCTATTGCAACACATCGGTGTCCCTATCTCCTTCACTGGGCACATGAGGGCAATCTGCGCTGTTCAAGGTTCCTGGAGCATGCACGGAGCGTGGTAACGTTCACGACACACACGAGACACATACTCCCACAATCGGCAATTTTGAAGGACGGCTAGTTGCTGAGCGTTGCGCTAGCAAACGAAAAGGGAGATTCTTCTTCCTTAGTTCTTGTCACCTTGCGTTGAATCTCGTTGGCCTGCTTCTCCGCTCCGCATTTCTCGCTTTCTCATCTGCCGTCTATCTCTCTCCCTTCCCTCTCCCTTCGGTCCCTTGTATAGTCTTGTACATTGCTTGACCGTGTTGCTGTTTTCGAGTAAACGATCATCATATTCTCTTTCTTTCCCTCTTACCCATCCCTTTCCTCACCTCTTCTCTTTACTTCCCCTTTCTTCTCTTCTCTCGGTAAGTTTCCCCCAAAGGAAACCTTTCATTTCGGACAGCAGGGAGGACATACTGCTTGAATTTCCCGAAGATCGCTTGACTAATCGTATGACTGGTCCTCGTGCAGCTTTATACCTTCGTGTCCGCAATTGCAGGCAGCTCGTGCCCATCTGCAAATACGGGTTGGCATATAATCGGCTTATTCTTCTTTGCGTCGTGATATCTTTCGCTTGTGACGGGTCTGTGTGATTCGTGCGCAACTATAGAAGGGCGATATTGATATTGGCCTTGATTACTTGCAAATATTTTGCGGCCCGTCGGGATACTTGTTGATCTGTTATCCTTGGTGGTGACAGTGGAATGGCCTCTGCCATGGCAGCAAACTCAGCCACGGTACATAATGTAGGTCTCAATGGCAGGATTCAGTCGGACAGACCATTGATTGCTGCGACACAGGGACGATCAAACAGAGCTACAAACATGTCCGCATCGGGTATGAACAGTGACCGATCACGAGGGCCTCATGCAGGTATGGGCAAGGGTTTCGGGTCTGGAAAGTCAAGCTGGAACTCCAACATCTGGGGCGACAATAACCTGGGAAGTGGATTCGATGGTGAGTTGATGGATCGAGCTCGCGGTATTTCTATTTTATCCTTGCACAGAACCTTTGAACTGACGATATAACCTGAAGATCAGAATCTTGCGGAAACTGCTTTCGAAGGAAAGTCAGGGTCAGGCTCACTGCTGCCTTCCTCTGAATCTGACGGATGGAACAGTCGGCCGAATCTGCCCTGGAACACAGTGAACACAACATCGGCTTCGTTGTCCAGAGGCCAAAACAACGGCATGACTGCTTCACCCATTTCGACAAGGCCCAATGACAGAAGTGCACCCGCTCTGTCGGAGACCGCTGATTCCTCATCATATTTCTCCATACCTAGATCTTCTGGAATCGGCTCGTCCGCTGGAGGAGGGAACCACAAAACTTACCTGAACGCTGGAACCGACGGGATCTCTCCATCTGGAGACGGACTGTCATTCGGCAACTTTGGTGGGCTCCGAGGCGGCGACGGTAGACGGCATCCCAACTCTGCCTTCGGAGGAAGCCCAGTCGGAACGGGATTTCCTATGAAGCAAGCGTTTGCCCCTCTGGACACCACTCGGCCCGATGAGGTAACTGGGTCTCTCACAATGTCTAATTTACCACAGACGTTGCCAGACACTATGGCGCAGCCGTTGGCTCGTAACGGTTTTGCTCATGCGTCCCACAACTCCGCATCAATTACATCTCAGAGACCCACCCACGCCTCCCACCCGTCATTTCATTCTGAAAGCCAGGGATTTGAGGGTCGCTTTGGAGGCTCCTCCATGGATCTGAGTGCTGGAATCAACAAGCTTCAGCTGAATGAAGCTGGCTTTTCGGGCCACCCAGCAAGCCGTCCGCCCTACCTGTCCCACTCGTCCTATGATGGGTCATTGCAACGCTTCAAATATCAAAGCGCTGCCGACGAATCCAGCTATGAAGCAGCCGGGGGCTACGCGGGAGATGGTTTGCCCGACTTGCCATTAGGACACCACGCCGGCCGATCCCGTATTGGTGAAGGTTCACTTTCTCCCACAGATATCGCGCGGATGGAGAGCAACTTTTACTCTGCTCTTGAGGCCGGCGCGGTCCCTGGAACGCATTATCGGAATGGGTCTGCCTCCCGACTGAGCGAAAACCAGGCTCTAGCCTTGGAGCGGAAGTTGCGTGCTATGCAGCACGATCAGGATCTTGCCCACGGTACTGCAAATTCTCTGCAACGTATTCCATATAATGCTCCTGCGTATGATCTTGCGGGATATCAAGCGGCACGGCTCAACGCCCTGTCAGGATTCTATCCTGTTGCGCAGCTTGGTGGACTGGGCTCCGCTGGTATTATCCCCAGGGGCCATCGTGATCAAGACCCTGCCCAAGTGGTGCGGAGCCCACTCTTGGAGGAATTTCGAGCCAATAGCAAGGGAAATAAGCGATACGAGCTCAAGGTATGTATTTCCGTTTTCTCGTACTATCCCCGGACTCTAAAACCAATATTAATATTCCCTGCAGGACATTTACAACCACATCGTTGAGTTCAGTGGTGATCAGCATGGTTCAAGGTTCATTCAACAGAAGCTGGAGACTGCGAATAGCGACGAGAAAGAGCAGGTGTTCCGCGAAATCCAGCCCAACTGCCTGCAGTTGATGACAGACGTGTTTGGCAACTATGTTGTCCAAAAGCTCTTCGAACATGGCAACCAATCCCAGAAAAAGATCCTTGCCAATCAAATGAAGGGCCATGTGCTTGCCCTGTCCACCCAGATGTATGGGTGTCGCGTTGTCCAAAAGGTAAGGCCACTTCAGTTCAAAGGGTGGATTTTATCGTGCATCTAAGGCTAATGGTTGGTTAGGCGTTGGAACATATCCTTACCGACCAGCAGGCATCCATGGTCAAAGAGCTCGAGAACCACGTGCTCAAGTGTGTCCGTGACCAGAATGGTAACCATGTCATTCAGAAGGCCATTGAAAGAGTTCCATCTCAATACGTGCAATTCATCATCAACGCCTTCAAAGGCCAAGTGAGCAGACTGGCCGCGCACCCATATGGATGCCGGGTCATCCAGCGCATGCTTGAGCACTGTGAAGAAGAAGACCGCGAATCCATCTTGGCTGAGCTTCATGCTTGCACTGCTCACCTCATCCCAGATCAGTTCGGAAACTATGTCATTCAACACGTGATCGAAAATGGCGAAGAGAAGGATAGATCCCGTATGATCAACGTTGTACTGTCACAACTGCTCATGTATTCGAAGCACAAATTTGCAAGCAATGTCGTCGAAAAGAGCATCGAATTTGGTGAAGAGTCGCAGCGTCGGCAGATCATCGGCACATTGACCTCCGCGAACGAGAGAGGCGAGAGCCCTCTCTTGGGTTTGATGCGTGATCAGTACGGAAATTACGTGATTCGTGAGTATTTCCGGATTCTCGTTTCGATGCGTGGAATTGCTAACCCTCGCTTTAGAAAAAGTGCTTGGTCAGCTGAAGGGCGAGGAACGAGAGGCTCTCATCGACCAAATCCGGCCTTTGCTCAGCCAGCTTAAGAAATTCAGCTATGGAAAGCAAATCGTTGCGATCGAAAAGCTGATTTTTGATTCTGCGACGCTTGGTGCTAGTTCCCTGCCTCAGGCTTCGTCCACGACTCCTCCTCACTCCCACAAATCCTCCCCTCAGCCAAGTAAGCGCCTTGTCAACGATCTAGAGGACAGCCGAGCTCCCGTTGTCGGCGCGGCTCCGCCTACACCTCCTCCTACTGACAACCAGGGTCATACACACGGTCCTGCTGAGTCGAAGAACCTTGCAAAAAGCACGGTGACTCCTTTGTCGGTGTCCGAATCTGCCTCTGCCGACCCCGATGGCTCTGTGCCGGTGTCCGGATCCACCTAAAGTTGCTTCAGACCTCAAACTCTGCTCTTTGCTTAATTTTCTCACTTTTCTTCGTGCGAATATTTGCTCCTTTTATGTCTTTACATGAGTTCGAAACCCCAACTCTATTTTTAATATGGGCGTATACATACAGGGAACTCTCTGAGGGATATATGAGTTTCCGGCTTTCTTTCTTCGATATTTCTCCCGAGCCATTATTATTCATGGCATGACGGCGTCAAAATTCAAGGGTCATGGTGGGAGCTTCACTGGTTCATGTTCGACCTTCCTACATTCTTAATCGTTTGTCTTCGTCTTGTGTTTGAAATTGTGATGTGATGAAAATGAGGATACGTCTCGAGAAGTTTTGTGAATGGTTTCTTCTTTCTTTGTCCAAATAGGATGGTTCGGCGTCTTCAACGGTGAGCTAGGGATACTGGAATATCGCGCTTGACTGACCTGGTGAAGTTCGATACGGGATCATGGGCATATGCAGGAATCTGGAAATAGGTAGATTACATGAGACTTGCCTGGCGCATGAGGTGACTTTTCTGTCTCGCTATACAGTCTGTTCAAATGAAAAGCGTTTGCTTGCAAAGCTATTATGATTGATTCACGTATTCTTAATGCAGAAGAGCAATAGTGGAGAATTGGTTCATTCCATAACAAAGACATGGGTATCAGAACGCGTCCTGTGCGACATATATGTCAGTGTAACTGGCCTAATTAATATAACAACTATAAATACTCAGTCAAGAAGCTGCATCTTTCAGCTAATTTCTTATCCTCCTCATATTCCAGCTTGGGTGCTTATCAAGGGCAACAATCACGTGACCGTGGGTACTATCATGTACGCAGGAACTGGAGCTTGCCACTAGTCGTAAGTTCAATCTATCGGAAGCATTGCGCTGCGCAGAGTGTCTTTAACTCTCCCAGTCACCTTATACTCAATATCTAGCGCATTACTCTGTCCTGCTTAACATTTTTGTGCGGACACTGCGCTTCACTGTTTCGTTCCAGTCCTCCTCGACCGGAAGACATCCATCCACTCACCGCGGTCCGTCTTCCACAAAACACCTCTGCAGAACCACGTCTTCTCTTGCACCTGCCATAAACCACTCGTCACATCCCAGTTTTATAGTCGTCAACTATGTCCTCAAACGTCGGCCTCTCCACTCCCCGCGGAAGCGGTACCTCGGGCTACGTTCAACGCAACTACGCGTTCATGAAGCCGCGCAACGCAGGCTACGGCGCGCCCTACCCGCCCGTTTCGGGCGCCAATGCCAACGATCCCAACCGCGGGTTTAAGCAGCGGCAGCCTGATAAGCAGATTCTGGAGCATGATCGGCGGCGCGCGGTCGAGGTGAAGGTTATGGAGGAGAGGGAGCGGCTTGAGGACGAGAATGAGCGGCTTGAGGAGGGGAAGGGCGAGGGCGAGGGCAAGGTGTTGTCGGAGGAGGAGATTGAGGAGCGGTGTGAGGCGTTGCGGGCGAGGTTGTTGAAGGAGATGGAGGAGGAGGAGAATCGGAAGGGTGATGCGGGGGCGAATGGTGAGAGGGATGAGGGGAGGGAGCGCAGGGCGTGGAGACGTGGGCCTAGGGATAGGGAGCGGGATCTGCCGCCGAGAGAGAGGAGGCAGTTCAAGTCGTATCAGGTGCATGAGCTTGCTGAGGCGAAGATTGAGGAGAGCGAGAGGTTGAGGAAGGCGTTGGGGATTCGGGAGGATACGGAGACGGGGGAGATCTCGAGTGGGAGGAAGGATTACGAAGCCAAGAAGAGGGATAGGGAGCGGTATTAGGTTGAGTTGTTTTCGTTCATATGGGTTACCAGGGCGTTCAGGGTGTTGAGGTGATGCTGCATATTTTTTTTTGGTCGGGATGAGAGAAAGGCCATTATTACCGGTATGCATTGTATTTCGTCAAGCATGACTCTTATCTATCTTTGCTCCCAGCCTGCCAAAAACTATATACATCTTAGGTGGTGAACTTTTCAATCACCCAACCGTCCTTTATATCTTTCCGTTGGATGACCTTCTTGGCCGGTAAGGGCCAAGAGGTGCCGCCAGCTTCGCCAATAAGCGATGGAATGACCCAGCATGCTCGGCGCTGCGGAACGCCGTCCATCGGTTCTATCTTGCCAATTGGCTTGCCGTATTCGATGAGCGGCGTGCCGTGCGCGATAGCAGAGAGCTGCAGTCCGCTGGGCGCCGCAAGAGGATACATTCTGATCCTCGGGACCTGATCGGACAGTACAGAAGGCGCTGATTGCTGGAGATGAGAGTAGACCAGGTACTGCGGCATTTCCTTTGGTGAAAGGCGGGCCAGAACAGACGACGGATGCACGTAGACGGCTTTCTCCTGAAGTTCTGTCGCCCGTCCTTCTCGAGACCTGAAGAGCGTCAGGTATGGGACATCGATGGCTCTCTTCGGTGTGCGGTCCATCTCGGGCGGAACAGGCGCCAGATCGGCGCGGATTGCAACGTTGTCGATGAACCCAGCGGTCACAATTTGCTTCAGCGCTTTGATTTGTTTATCTGTTGGCTCAGGCAGGCGCGTCTCGTACGCTCCGATCAGACCAGGGTTGTTTGCGCGTACAATATCGGTCAACTGTTGCCGAAGTTGAGTGGCCTCCTTGAATGCCTTTGCCCGCAGGAACATCTGATCGCAGAATGAGTCCCCATTTGAGGCATAAGCGTAGGCGCAGATCGCTGACAAATACTTCAAAGCGTCCGAAGTATCATCGTGCTTGCTGAAGAGACGTTGTGCTCTGGCGTAGTCCTTGTGGCGCTGTTCCCGAGCCGTGTCCTCCAAACGATCGGAGTTCTTATAAACTCCGTCACCCTTGTCCTCTTCCTTTGACGGAGCTGGATCGATTTGGTTTTCAGGGATGAACAAGTCTCCCACGGCCAGGGCAGAGACAAGCGCAATCACATATGGCATGCAGCCGTGCTGGTGGCCGATATGAAGCATTTTGCCGAACCGCGGTGATAGCGGATATGTGGACAAGCGATGCCCAATCTGAGTGATTTTACCGTCCGCGGAGAGTGCTCCAAGGTTCTTCAGCAACTTCTCAGCCTTGGCCAGCCCCTGCCGACTAGGAGCTGTAGGGAAAGGGAAATTGATCACGTTATGAAGACCCATGCTTTTCATCTGGAGCACGACGCCTTCAATAGGTGTTCTTAAGATTTCAGGGTCGGTGTACTCCGCGAATTCACCTTCGTAGATCGCTGAAGAATAGAGTCGGTAGCAGTGACCTGGACCGGTTCGACCAGCTCGACCAGCTCTCTGGTTTGCACTAGCCTTGCTGATCCAACCGATTTGGAACTTCTGCACACCGGTCTCTAGATCGTATTGCTTTTCTTTGGCTCGCCCACAATCAAAGACATACTTGATGCCCGGAATCGTAAGACTGGTCTCGGCGACGTTGGTCGCCAGGACGATAAGACGAGAACCCTCCGGTGGCGGTTCGAAAACCTTCAGTTGCTCCTTTGTGGGCAGCTGGGAGTAGAGCGGCAAGACATGCACTCGAGTTGAGGAATCCATCGCCTCTTCCCCGAGATTGAACTCTTCATCTTCCTCAGGATTCTCATCCAAGCCGGTAATTTCGAGGTCACTGTCATCATCCTCGTTGCCAGGATGAGACAAGTCTGCACCCCCTAGGTCCAGATCCTCCGCTTCGAGTGGTGCATCGTTTGCGGAGAGTTGTACTTTTGCCTGTGTAGCTTCTCCCCTTTGTGTGGGCTTGAAGGTCTGCTTCAACCGCTTAGCCAGATGTCTGATCTCGTTCTGTCCGGTGAGGAACACGAGCATGCCTCCGGGAGGTAACTTGCGGTGGCCCCTGCAGACTTTTCTGTAGGCTTCTTCAACATAGTCGCGATGTGTCCGTCGCGCGAAATGTATGTTCACGGGGTACTGACGACCCTCTGCTTGTACTAGTGGCGGTGGGCCTTGACGGAATAGACTTGCATTCTGCGTGAAATCAGAGATTCGCAGAGTCGCAGACATGACTACGAGTTTGAGGGGTTTGATGGAGGGATCCTCTTCGCTCATGGCTTTCCGCAGGTCAATGATACGGCTAACCATTCCAATCAGGATATCCGTGTTGACGCTCCGTTCGTGGGCCTCGTCGATTACGATAACGGAATATTTCTTCAAAGCGAAGTCTTCGGCAATCTCGCGAATAAGGATACCGTCCGTCATGAATTTGATGGCCGTTTTGCTGGAGACGTTGCTTTCAAAACGAATCTGGTAAGCAACACGGTCGGAGTACTGTCCCAGCTCATCGGCCACACGTTTGGCCATACTGACAGCAGCAACTCGGCGGGGCTGTGTCACTGCAATCATACCTGGGTTGGGACTGTCGGGGTGTCCATAACCGGCCTCGAACAAGAACTGAGGAAGTTGCGTGGTCTTTCCGCTACCAGTAGCACCCCAGATGACGATGGATGAATTATTGTAGATGGCTTCCATTATCTTCTGTTCTTCGCCGACCACGGGCAGTCCCAACCGTGAATTTTGAACTTCTTCCGAACGGTCAACTTGCACACTGAATGCCTTGCGGTTTGGATCGCCTGTGGTGACTTGCAGCTCAGGGGGAAGCGGTTCCTCTTCAGCGACGGTGTTCCTGACGGGTCGCTTGGATTCAGGAACGAACGGCTGCTCCTCAGCTGTAACAGGCCCAGAAGGTTTGAAGCCGACAACCTCATTGATTTGTTGTCTTGCCCAGTCTTTGAACGCGGACTGACGAGGCTTGATCCGGGTTTCTGCTGACGACTCGTCTTCCTCATCCTCCTCGTCGTCGTCATCTTCTTCGTCCTCTTCGTCATTATCCTCATTATCACTGCCGTTATCCCCATCATCGCTCTCATCATTGTCGGAAGATGCTTCGTCCTCTCCATCCTGCACAGACTCTTTTTCGGCATCGCTCTCGGAGTGTTCCAGCTCTTCATCGTTGCTACCAGCACTATCATTTCCATCATCTGAATCGAATCCTTCCCATGGCACCTCCGGCAAGGATACGATTACCGGTTTGACCTTGGGCGCTCTTTTCCGCTTCTTCAGAACTGGGAAACCGTCCGGACCGAGTTCCAGAGGGCGTTTGAGACCGCCACCAACGGCTGGGGTGGGAATCGGTGGTGCAGGGGCAGTCTCGGCGAGCTTCCGCTTAGAACTTCCTTTCGAGTCGACAAAGGAGTCGTCTGTCTCATCGCCCGACAATTCCGAATCCGAAACCCGATTCTGCGACGCACTAACAGCCTTTGGAGCGGTCGTGGGCACAATATTTTCGTCCTCTCTCTTCCGTTTTCCCAGTTCCTTCGAGCTCTGGAGCGCGGAGGTATCGACTTTGATCTTCTCAAGTTGTTTAAGTAGCTCGACGTTCTCTTCCTTTTTGAGTTTGTTTTCCTGCCCAGACGGTCAATTAAATCCGCGCAGACATCCGTGGATCCACAAGGGAATCATAATTCACATACAATATATTTATCCAAGCGCTTTTGCTTCTTCGCAGAGATCTTCGTGTGTTGCGCCCTCAGCTCCTCTCGGAGTTTCTGCTTTTTCGCTTCCCTTTCGCTCTTGGAGATGGGCAGTATCTCGGAAGCATTTGTGTCGACCGCAGCATCGTTTGAATTGTTTTGTCGATGTTTCTGCTTTCGTTGACGAGGGACAAATTTGGGCATTGTGAATATCGACGAGATTCCCTTGCCTCAGCCCGGAGACAAAGGGAAGAAAATTTAGAAGAACAACGGTAGAGAATGGCTGACTTTGTGACTGCTACTCCTCTTGCTGTTGAAGGAAACGTGAAAAGAAAATTGATTCTGCCGGACAGTGGGGATATAAATCTCACCGCCCACAAGGCGGCATCACAGACCATCTGCCAACTGATCACCGGCTTCATTTGTTTATTTCGGTATTTTTGCGGTAGAGTTGAAATCAAAAGTTCTCTTAATCAGCTGAAGAGGCATTTCTTATTTTTAGCATCCCGAAACTAAATACTCAGTACTATTCGTCATGTCCAATCTCCTTGATCTTGACAACCTCCAGGTGCCACTGGACCTTCCTTTTCCTGCTGCCACGAAACAGGTCGCTGGAGTGGTAAATGGCATAAAAACAGACGTGACGTGCGTCCAATTTAGCGACAAAATCCTGGTCACCATATCTCAAAATGGCCGACTTGGGCATTGGGTCCGTAGCTCAGCGTGTCCTCCTACAAGTCTCTCAGGCTAACCCATGGTTCAGCTGCATGTACCGCTAGAGAATAAAAACCCAGGGGCACAGGGGTTTCATACATTGTCTGAACCAGCTGATGATGATCTTCTTCCAATGAGTCGCTTGATGGCCACCTCGCTGCTTGGGGGTCGAGCTCCTGGACATGAAACAGTTGGTCAGCTCTATGCACGCCAGATTGCAAGTGCTATTGCAACAAAGACACCTGACGAGAAGCGATTACTTGTCGTCGGTCTTGGACTCGAAAGTGCAGAGGCTGACCGTGAGGTCTTTTTCGCCATCATCGATCTTGTACTTCAATGCATCTGAGCTTCGAACCAATATTCTCAATGAACATCAAATGAGAACAGGTGGCAGAAGAAGGCATGCAACAAAAAGCGGGTCACTTACACAGATTTATGGAGACTTCCTCCTCCTATGCGCGTGTTCTGATCCGCTCGATCGTCAAATTGGGAATTCTGAGCGCAAAGATGAGTTGAGTGAGGCGTTCGGTCTCGTCTTCGGCCAGGCCTCTGAAGATCAACCTTCCGAGAAATTCAATCCCGCCACTGAACAGAGCGCGGACCAGGTCTCCCTC